CCACTCGGCGGCTCTCACGCCGTGTCTCTGTATCCTCTTTGTAACGATTCGGGTCTTCGTGACCTTACAAATTCATGGATCTGATGTGCTAAACTGCCTATGGTGCGATGATGATACAGGGAGAGGAGGGTGGGACGAAAAGCGAGCCCCGAGGGCAGTCCTCTTCGTCGACTCTGGCCGCGAGAGCGAAGAGCCGACGTGGCGACCTCTGCCGCCCAAGAATCGGCACCGCCGCACGTGACCTCCGCTCCGGTGCGCCCACGAAAAACACAAGTCCGAGCGGAGTTTCTTCTGGACGTTTGCCTGCTCCAGTCTCCAGAAGGAGGGGCTTTGTTCATCGAGGGCGGAAGCACGCCCGGCAGGCCAACCGAGGACACATCATCGAGTTTTCCACGTGTCGCATTGGGAAAGGGGTTGGCAGCGACCGTGAAGCATGTAAGGCCTACATGGGAACCTCGGCCCAGCTGCGGCGTTTCGAATGTCGTCTCTCCCAACGCAAGAAGAACACACAAGACTCCGTAGCAATAGCACAGAGCCCAAAAAAGATTAAATTTGCTGTAGAGCGCGCGCGCGCTTGGGAGAGGCAGAAGGTATATATGCCTTTTATTAGGATCCGAGGAGCACGCTCCCGTCGACGCCGCGGGGGACGTCGGGCCGGAGCCCGTTCCACCAGTCTTTCGCGGACACGAGCGCGCGGTCTTGCGGCTTGAGCGCGGACACGCCGAGCACGGTGCCGCGCGCGCAGGCGATGGCGAGCCGGCGGTCGTGGGGGGCGTATAGGGCCGTGCCCGGTGGTGGTGGCGGTGCGGTGGGGGGCAGACGATCTTGGTGGGTGGGGGAAGGGAAGAGGGGGAGGGTGGCGGGGTCGTGTAGTTGGAGCGTGCGCGGGTGGGAGTCGGCGATGTGGATGTGCGTCGTGAGTGGTTTCTGCAAAGGGAAGGAAAAAAAAGGAGGAAGAATGGTGAGTTAGAGAGAGAGGGGCGATGAAAGATGGAAAGATGGAAAGATGGATAGGAGGAAAAAAGGAGGAGGAGGAGGAGGAGGAGCGGGTTTGTTTACTTACTTGGTGGGAGATGGCGTCGTGGATCCGGACGATGTCGCTCGCGGACATGGTGCGGAAGTCGACGGCGGCGTCGGCGGCGGTGATGGCCGGGGCGCGCGGGATGAGCGAGGATTGGGGGACGGCGGTGGCCTGTGGCCCCAGTTCAGATGAGCGCGGTTTTTGGCAAGTTACGTAAACAATAAATAAAAAATAAAAAAGGACGGGGGGGACGGATTTGACGCACCCGGTCGGCGAGCATGTCGCGGAGGACGGAGACGAGGAGCGCGCCGCCTTCGCGCGCGAGCAGGTCGCGCGCGTGGGCGAAGTGGCCGTCGGGTAACGTCTGCGGTAACAAAGAGAAAAAAATTAAAAAAAGCAATCGATGAGAGGGAGGAAGATGAGAGGGAGGTGTGGGGGGGGGGGGGAGCGCATATCTCACCACGCGTCGGTGCCCCCAGACGTCGCCGGCGTCGATCCCGTCGCGCCGCTCCGTCATCTCGATCGCGCACGCGCCCGCGGTGCGCGCGCCGTCGAGGAGCGCGCGCTGGATCGGGGCGGGGCCGCGGTAGGCGGGGAGCAGGGAGGGGTGCACGTTGAGCCGGCGGCCGGGGGCGAAGGCGGAGAGGTGGGCGCGGGAGAGGATGCGGCCGAAGGAGGCGGTGACGAGCAGGTGCGTTGCGGGGGGCGGAGGCGAGGGGCGGAAGGGCTCGGGCAGCTGGAAAAAGAGAGAGGAGAAGAGAGGGGAGGTCAGGGCGGGGTACCGCACGCGGGAGACGGATGGGGGGCGGGAGAGGGCGAATGGATCGCTTGCCTGCCACGTCCGGAAGTCGCGTTTGGCGCGAGGGATTTCGTGCACGGCGACGCCTAGGGAGGCGGCGAGGGTCTTCAAGGGCGCTGGGGCAGACGAGAAACGGCGGGTGATCGTTCGCAATGCGACCCGCTGGAGGAAAAGGGAAATTACGGACGCACAGACAGACAACTGCGATCCCCGACGGCCGACCTTCGCGTCTGGCTGGGTCGCAATCTTCACGCTGCTCCATACATCTGCGGCAAACGCGAAGGGAGGAGGAGGAGGAGGAGCGTATGGCCATGTTGAGATCACTTCGGTCCGGAAACCCCAAAACGCACGCACCTGTCGCTCTGTGCAGCTCCTCGAAGACCGTGCACGAGAACTCGTCGCGCCCGAAGAAGAGGATGTCGAACGGCTTGCCGCCCTGCGTCGGGCTCTCGGTGGCGACGGCGGCGGCGGCGGGGACGGGAACGTGCAGCGTTCTCGCCCGCGTTCGCAGCACGGGGCCACTCGTCCAACCGTTACCGACCATATAACGTCGTCTGCACGGCGAAGCAGGCAGATGGCGCGTCGCCAAAGACGGTGCGGTCATCGTGGAAGAAGAGACGGTCACAAAGAAAGATTACATGTATTCCGACGCGTCGGTCTCGTCTTTCCCACCACCGCCTCTTGCGCTACAAACAGCTCGTCCTCTTTCCTCTTACCGTCTACACCACCACCACCTCTCTACAGCCCTATATTTGACTTCACATTTTTCTATCGTGAGGAAATGCCGCACCCGACCGCCCCGCCTCCGTCTCCACCCCGCGCCGGCTCGGACCCGGCCTCCTCCTCCTCCGTCCCCTCCTCCGCCATCCACCGCGGCGCCGAGCGGATCCTCGCCCTCCTCTCCTCCTCGACCGCCGCCCTCGCCGCCTCGCACACCCGCGCGCTCGTCGCGCTCGAAGCCCTGCACGCCACCTGCGCGCTCCTGCACGCCGCCCCGCCCTCCGCCTGCGCCTCCGCCCGCGCGCTCGCGGAGGAGGTGTGGGCCGCGGCGCGCGAGGTCGAGCGGGGCGTGGACGAGCGGGCGGGCGAGTGCGAGTGGGAGGGGGACGGCGAAAGGGGGGAATGGGAAGGCGAAAGAAGGGGAGGGGAGGGGGGTGAGGGCGAGGGTGTTGGGCACGGAGGAGGTGGTCAGGGCGAGGCGGATGGCGGAGGAGGCGAGGCGCGCCGCGCGGGAGTGGGCGGCGCGGGGGGAGGGGGAGGGCGGGGAGGCGGGGAGGGACGAGGTGGAGGAGATGAGGGCGAGGTTGGACGCCGTCGCGCGCGAGCGCGATCTGGCGGTGGGGAAGCGCGAGATGTTGCAGGCGGAGGTGGACGTGCTGCGGAGTCGTATCGGGCTGGAAGAGGAGGAGGAGGGGGAGGAGGAGGAGGATGAACGGGAGGAGGGGGGCGACGCGCTGATGACATCGCCGGAGTTGGGCTCGTCGAAGACGGACTACGCGGCGGCGCTGGGGATGTCGCGCGAGGCGTTCGACGCGCTCCCGAAGGCACAGCGCCGGCGGCTCAGAAACCGCGTTTCCGCCGATAAGAGCCGCAAGAAGCATCGCGGTGCGTACGATTCCTTTCTGCCCCCCCCCCCTCCCCTTCCCTTTCATTTTGATCGCGTACTCTATCGAACGATTCGCGGGTTCAATTCTTCCATCTTCACAGCTATGGTCCAACGGCTCAAAGCCGAGCTCGACGCCGTCAAGCTCCAGAACGCCGTGTTGCAGGAGCGGCTGGACGCCGTGCAGGGGCAGCGTTCTTAATCGACGAGACTCCATCGCTACCGGCACCGACCCGATAGTAGCGTGAACAAATTTCAACTCCACCATTACTCTTCCCCACAGACCCCTACGCTGCCCTCTCTGCACCGGTCGTGACAGGGGTATACGCCGATCGTCTCTGCCCACGGACGCGATGGCGTGTATACTAACGACCGACTATCAGCAATCTGCCGTCGTCCGAGAAAACATGTATCTCTCGCCATCTGAATCATCATAGTGTTTCATACGATACGGGTTATTATATCCTCGGAACCTATCGTTGTAGCCTCTCCCTTTCAGTAATAAGCCAATCTGATTTTTGTTTTGCGCTGCGCCGACACACAGGCTCCACGTCATTCCGTGAAATTCATCGTAACGACCAACTATTCGCCCCCTGGAGCGTCATCGCTAGCTTCATTCTTTCATCTCGCTGCAAAAGCCACCCCAATATGCATCAAGTCATTGCGTTTTTTCCTTCTTCTTCCATACATAATGGTACATTACAAGCATGTTATACCCCTCCAAGCATATTCGACCATAAGGACGCGTGCGTAAAGACATCACCAAACATGAGATTTCCGCAAAACAAAAAATCGTAAACTGTTCATCAAGAAGAGGGTCCTGACCCGGTATTCGGGTGTGCGGCGGCGTTGCTGAACGCCACCGAGCGGGCTCGAGGTCGTTGGCTTGCCTGCGGAGGAGCAGGGGCCTCCACGTTCCTGCCTTGTGCGTGCGCCTGCGCCGAGAGCGCGAGGCGCAACTGTTCCGCAGACGGGCGCGGCGACGGCCCCGACGACGACGACGGCGGCGGCTGCATATGTCCCGAATCCAACGAAGAAGGTGCCCCCCTCACGCCCTCGAGCGACGTCCGCCTCGACGCCGGGTTCGACGGATCGCTCCCGCCGCCCGTCGCCATCCCAAAATACTCGTGGCCGGCCGGGCTCTCCACCATCGCGGGGTAGCCGTAGCCGCCGTCCACGGCCGCCGCGTGCGTCACGCTCGGCGAGCGCGAGCGCGGCGTCTGCGGCCCGGACGTCTGCCCGCCGCCGCCGCCGTGGGCGCTCTGCATCTCGTCCCGGTCGTCGAACACGAGCCGCGGGAGCGGCTTGGTCCAGATGCGCACGCCGCCGTCGTGCGAGCCCGTCGCGAACATGAACGGGTCGTCCGAGGCGTGGTTCCACGCGATGCAGGTCAGGTCGCCGCCGAGGGACGCGGTGCGGACGTGGTGCAGCAGCGAGCCCGATTCGCGGTCCCAGATGTGGATGTCGCCGGCTGGGGTGCCGTTGCGTAAGCGAATATCAGGAAGGTGAGACCGGCGCGGAGGAAGGGTTAGAGTCGGAACCCACCTTTGGCGGCGCAGAGCACGAGCTCGTCGTTCTTGCCTCCGAAGTAACTCGGCCCAGCAAAGTCGACGGGCACCTTGGGCATGTACGTATGCCGCAACGTGAACCGGGCCGTGACGTCGTGGATGTGCTCGTCGTGATGTTGCTTGATCATGTCGAGCTTCCAGAGTTGTGGAGGGGCCTGTGTTTCCGGGGATATCAGCGACCACAACTCGCCGGCTGACTGTCCGTTCGGACCCACCTTGTTCTCGTAGCTGACCAGGGCCATTTGGGCGTTTCGGGCGAGCGTGATGTCGCGCACGTCGTTCAAGACCGGTACCTGGCTATGGAACACGTCAGAATCGTGCATAGAGAAGATCTCGGAAGAACAACCACATACCTTTCGACAGTCCGATTCTCTAAATTGTACGCTATGGACACAATCGATGAGCCTGTGATTCCGGTGTAACGAGGCAAATCGTTACCGATGATCCGCTTTTCCGCCCTGGACTTGCTCGGCACCAATCCCTCCGCGGTCCTGAGCAACGTTCCGACACCGAGCAGGCGCTTGCAGTCCGGCGTAACCGCGACGTCGTGAACCTCCATCTGCGTGAAGCTGTGCACGTCCAAAACCTTGCCGTTCAGGTCCTGCGCAGCTACATCGTTAGATCCTTCGCTAGGCAGAAGGGAGGATGGGGGGTCGCACCACTTTCACGATGTCGCTACCGGCCTCTGTCTTCTCCACCGACATGAAAGCTACCGACGGAATGAGGACCTCCTGTATATCTATGACGCGAGCGGGGTCACGCACCTTCGCCTCCGGGGAACCAAGTGATCGATTGAACGTTCCGCTTGCGGTCGATGGTTTTCCGACACACACCGTCCTAGGCCGAGCATCAGTCCGAGTCACCGGGCCAAGGGTAAGCCGAACGCACGTCCGTCCATATCTTGATCCCGCGCGTCATCCTCGTCAACAGCGAATTTCCGTTCGGAGACCAAGCGACCTGATGCACGAAGCCTTGCGGATGGGCAAGCACACGATGAGCGATCAACGGCGCTTGCGGTGCCTAAGCAACGTTCGAACCCGTCGTCAGCCACAATCAACCCGTCTTCACCTCGCAGATCGCTCGCTCACCCCGACTCTGAACATCACACACGTCCTATCCCAACTGAAAAAAATCCCTCGTCAGCGTTCCGCGCATCTCCCAGTCCCCCGTACAAGGAGGGAGCCAAAAAAAAAAATAGAAAACAAAAAAAAGTCCTCACCTGCACGTCGCCAAGTACTTCCCGTCCGGACTGAACATCAGATGCCGCACCAGCGCCGAATGCGCCGCCAGGTCCTGCGTCGTCTCCAGACACTGCAGCCTGGGCGTGAGCGCCGCGAGCCGATTGCTCCTCACCGCCGACGCCGGCCCGGCGCTGCTCCCGCTCAACACCCCGCCCGAGTGCGTCCTCCGCCGCGCGGGCGAGTCGGGCGCGAGCGAGCCGATCCCGACCGTGCGCTGCATGAGCATCATGTTGTGCACCGCCTGCGCGAACCGGCCGCGCTCGCGCGGCATCGCCACGGGCGGCTTGGAGGCGGACGCGGACGCGGGCGTCTTCTCGGTCGTCGGCGACGTCGTGAGCGCACCGGAGTGGGCCAGCAGTCCCGCGACGCTGCCCTCGGTCGACGACGCCTTGGTGCCGAAAAAGTCGCCGCCACGTTGTCCGTCGCTCGGCCGCGGCGAATGCGGATCCCCGTCCCCTACCCCCCCTGCTCCCGTGCCTCCGACGACGGGCAGCGTCGACTCGGACGTCTGGCTCCCGCCGCGCCCGTGTCCTCCTCCCGCGGCGAGCCGCCTCGCGATCGTCCGCATCGGCGCGGTCGACCGTCGGAGCGCGGCGGGCGTCTTCTCCGAGAGGTAGGCGAGCCCGGACGCGGCCGCGAACCGGTCCGAGACGTCGTCGAGCACGTCCGCGAGCCACTTCTTGCCCTTGTGCCGGGTGAAGGCCCAGCGCTCGGACGCGAACCAGGTGGAGACGGCCATGAGGCCGAAGGAGGAGAAGGCGGTGAAGACGGTCGTGATCGTGCTCGTCGTGTGGCTCTGTAACCCCCCCGCGAGAAAAAACGAGAAAAAAGTGATGGTTAGCGCAAGCGTGACGGAGGAGGATAGGGAAGAGGAGGAGAGAACGCGGTTACCTGGTCGGAGGCGTAGGCGAAGAGGACGAGGCCGATGGAGAAGCAGGCGACGGAGATGACGAGGAACACGAGCGGGCTGCGTTTGATCCAGATCAGGACCCACCACGGCACGCGGTGTCCCGGGCTTCGGTACATCGCTTGCTTCCACGTCACACCTGAAACCATTGATAAGATCAGTTAGGGCAGCAAAAACCATGAAGTAAAAATTAAATAAAAAAAACAGGGGGGACGTACCGAGCAGCGAGTTGACGGCGGAGGCGATGCTGAACACGAGGCTCGCGAACCAGAACGCGTTCACCGCGTTCTGGAGCGCGCTGGAGGTCAGGTTGAACGAGAACTGGAGCGTGGTGGCGGTGACGGCGGAGAAGAAGGTGGCGACGGTCGACAGGTTCTGGAGGTTCTGCGCGCCGTGTTTTTGGGCGAAGCGGATCGTAGGGACGCCTAAACACCCGACACCCATGATATTCTCGCGTCAGTTTTCGGTACGAGAGAGAGGGAAGGGGAGCCAGGGGGGGGAGGGGAGGGGACGCACCGACGTCGGTAAAGTAGTTGAGCGTGCTGGAGATCGAGTCGAGGTGTTCGCCCATCTCGCTCGTGAGATCGTGCAGGTAGCGTTGCACGGCCGGGTACTTGAACTGGTTCGTGTACTCCTTCAGGCACGCCGCCCAGTACTAACGCGTCACCGCTTCGTCAGCTCCTCATACGGCAACAACAAGTACAAAAGAGAAAGGGAGGAGGGGGACAGGGAGAAGGAAGAGGAGGGGGACGGGGAGAAGAAAGAGGAGGAGGACGACGGGGAGAAGGAAGAGGAGGAGCGAGGGAGGGAGGAGCGAAGACCGGAGAAAGAAAAGAAACGGAAGAGAAGAGAGCAGGAGGGAAACGCAACGCAACCTTGAGATCGCCCTCGAACGACTTGATGCTCGCGTTCACGGCCTCGTCCGTGAACTCGGGGAACTCGTTGAGGCAGTTCAAGAACGTGATCACGTCCGAGGCGAGGCCCTCGATCTGTTCCGGGAAGTCTTCCGCGTCGAGGTCGCGCCCCGCCGTGGGGCGGGCGACGTGCGGAGGCGGTTTGCGCGTTTTTCGGCTGGACACAAAAAAAAAAAAATGATATGAGGATACGTCAAGGGGTGAGACGACGGAGATTGACGATGGAAGAGAGAGAGAGAGAGAGAGAGAGAGAGAGAGAGAGAGAACGAAAGAAG